CCCTAACCCTAACACTAACCCTAACCCCCTAACACTAACCCCTTTAACCCTAACCCCCTTAACCCTAACTTTTCGGGTAGAACTAGCCCAAAAAGTAACAATAAACATGCTTTTTTACACGTACTTCAGCCGTCTGATCATTTTCTGATAGGTCCAAAGTGACCTTTTTTCTGCATTGTACTTTGTCTTCTTGACAAATCCCCCTGCCTTTTGTACACACCCATATGTTTTGTACATATCCGGAAACGGCACATGAAAATCCTTTATAACAACTCAACAAATAAACCTCAGACGTCATACTTCTACGTACACGATCACAAGCAGATACTCTTTCTTTCGTATAAATTTGGTTCGCATTGGGGTCGCGGTTCAACAGTTAAAGCCGATTTAAGTCTTTCCCATAGGTTATGTACAAACTTTATACTTTGAAAAACTGGCGCTAAGGCCCTATGCATTAAGTCACCTGCCAGTCATGGACACCCAAGAAATCAGCAGGATTTTGAGAAACGACCGTTTCACCAAGCATCATTTTAGAGGGGTCTTTGCATGCGATCAGCTTTCCCGGGCACTACGTTCCCCGACCAAGCGCTGTGTTCTTCAACACGGACCCGTCTACAAAAGGAGGTCAACACTGGATTGGCGTTTATATCACCAGAGATGGCGAAGGCGAGTACTTCGACTCCTACGGGCAACCGGCGAAGCTCCCTCAAGTTAAAAATTTCTCAAGAAAAATGTGACGCGCGTACGCTACAACCATCGAGTTCTGCAAGGGCCGCTGTCAGCCGTTTATGGACAATATTCGATGTTCTTCCTGTTGCAGCGTTGCCGGGGATTAAGCACGACCAATATTACGCGGTTATTTTCTTCACATAGGAGAGACAATGATTTACTCGTTAATGATTTCATTCAAAAACATTTTCCCCACGTCAGGACAACAGTATATGACGAAGAGTTTTTTGTGAAGTAAATGTCAAGAGCTTTGTTACATTACCTTAATAACCGTAACTGTTTTCATTTATTGTTAGTATTATTATTAATTATTTTAATTATTTTTTTTTTATTATTTTTTTTTAATTTACTTACCTGCGCAGGTAAACATTGCATTTTGCTTTAGTTAGTTATAAGTGTCCTAAAGATAAATCATTTCAGTAATTTTGCTCTAATTCATTGTACTCGATCTGCGAAGCTCAATAAAACTTTTTAAACTGTATATTGCCCACTGACCACTTAAGGGATGTTCTGGCGAGTCCCGGTTAGTTTTAGGCACCATGTGTCGTGCTTTATTTCTCCTGCCATTTTCGTATTTATCTATTTTCTGTATTATATTTTATATATTTGTTTTCTCGCCAGTCTCCCTCCTCTCCCTAATCTCCACTTCGTAGCTCAAAATGGAGACCCTCCGTTCCTCCGGGGCTGTAGCGTCCACTTCGTGACTTCGTCACTCGTTCCCAAACTGGCTAAAGCCAGTTCATCACTACCGTGAGGTAACGTCCACCTCGCCACTACGTGGCTCGGCTTGAGTCCCTCCGGGACTCTACTCAACCCGAGACATCGTCTCGGGTTGACACTTTACACATCCCACTCCGGAGCGAGGGTGCCGGCACCACCGGCACACACCCTCCGAGGGGCACCACCAATCGGGGTGTGAACAGCTCCTCTTCTACTACTGTCGGTCTAGGAGGTCCGCAAATCTTCGGCCTCCATCGTGTCCATGAATTTTTCCGGCAAAGAGGTCCTTGCCATAAAGAGGGAGATCCTGCAATCTTGACTTGACTCTCTGATAGTGAATATTCATGACGTCCAAGGCGGTGGATCTGCCTACGGAAGTGGCTAAGGAGATCCGAACAAACTGCCCGAAGATAGAATTGACGTTCTCGTCAAGCACTTGGAAAGCAAAGACCCCCAGGTCCGAAGTCACCGTTGAGTCCTCTTCACAGGCACGGCCTAGGTGCTCGGAAAGGAGAGTCATGGAGGCAGTACAACGAAGGCCTTACCTTGAAGCTTTGTTCCGAAGGTAGACTTGTCCTTGTCTTTGAAAGGGGTTTTCCCGGTAAATCTCTGAGCATCGGAAGACAGTTGTCTTAAGCCGTTATGGGCATCTCAGGGACGCAGAGAAAGTTCTCTGTCGTCCTTAGAGAACTGGAAATAAGTCGATGCTTTGGCGAGGAACGGGCGCCTTGAAGCTGTTTGGCGGAAGGGGAGACGTCACCTGCAGTGTCGAGGCCGAGGGTCGGGGCCAGATGTGAATCGTATACGGGACCCGATCCTAGGTAGGTTGAAGAGTAAAAAACCATCATGAGAAGGACTGATTGACGGAGCCAGATGCGGAGTCGGATGCGGATGTAGATGTAAATGCGGGTAGGGTTCTGCAGACAAGAGATCCGGGGCCGTCGCCGTACGAGTGGAGTTTAATCTCAAGGCGGCTGGCTATTGTAGACAGCATCTCCGAGAGACAGCGGACCGCTGTCGTGATATCAACAGAAGAAACGTCTAGTCGAGATAAAGAGCGAGACTTCTTGTGCTTGGACCCCATGCATGTGCTTCTTGCATATGGGTGATCTTGTCCCAGGGTCAGCGGGCCAAGTCTGGAGAGCTGGGGCGTCGGATGCCTGTCCAGACTGCAGTTCGCATTTGGTCGATGGGGGCTGAAGTCCCGCCGGAGAAGCAGCGTCAGAAGCACTTATGAGCACCACCAGGTAGCCGCAAGACGACGTGACGTATGGAGTTCGAAAGCCGCAACGGCGTGGAAGGTCGGTGGGCTCTGCAGCTTGGGACGTGGGCGGATATGAGCGCTCGAGCCTGCGTAGCCAGGTGCAGTCTGCAGGGGCCACCCCGGGAGGCAACGGGGGGTCGGCCCGGGGAAGGGAAGCATTCAAATCACGCCTGTGTGTGCCGGTGGGAGGGTCGTCCGAAGGCGGCAGCTCGTGGCGTGGGACGGTCGAAGTGGTCGGCGCGTGGCTTGAATCGCATTGTCTGTACCAGTAGGAAGACCGCTGCTGGACGTCGTCACTTCGGGAGTTGGCCGCGTGGAAATGTACGTACCGTCCAGACCAGCTAGCGGGGAAAAAGTTCACCCCGAATGCAGTGCCACCCTGCACTATCGTTGACCGCGGTGCAATGTGGAGGTCAGGGGACTGAGCGTTTGAATACCGCCCGCTCCATAGCTCAGACCCTTAAGTGTGGCATGGCTGACCCTGGACTGGACAGGGATTGACTCTGCCAGCAGGTGTTAGCACGGAATTACAAGTGTAGCGTGCAATGGCATTCGATTATTCGCAGACCGACTCCTGTCGGCTTAAAGGGGAGAGTTTGGAACTGCGGAACGAATCGCCGCGCCACCTCGTAGAACCCCCAACTATCCCGGGGTCGCCCCGTTGACCGTATAGGGTGTTTTTCTAAAAGGAGACTGGGAATAATTTGTGAATATCTTGGACATCGTTAAATATTTTGAAAATTGACAACCACCATTTATTAATTCGGAGTAAGAACAACGTAAACTCAACACAGAGCCTATGAAATGCACACAGAAAGAGAAGAAAATATCACAGAAACTACGATATAAACAAGTAGGAAATATATATCAGCGTGTACACTCGTTACAGTTGATCAAAGTAACACAGGAACATGTACCGAAACGGAAAACTCGAGAACTCAAAGACGCCAAAATGACACGTCCCAAAATAAATCACGCTAAGGAAAAGGGGAACGAATATGGCGGCAGCTCCTCTATGCATCATGGGGCTAGAGGGCGCACTACGGTTGAACAAGTTTTTTAGCGAATCGAATCACACTCAAAGGAATTGCAATATTTAGTGACTTTTGGGTAGGATGGAATCAGAAGACTTGACAAGTGAATAATTACAAAGTTTGCCTTCAAAAGTTTAAAAATCCCACGTGCATGTATAATTATGTGTATCATTTTTAAAGACAGAAATATACATGTTTATGTACGCGGAAAGAAAAGCTATGCTTTTTGCTTTTAAATTACGATTTGGAGAAAGTGACTTTTACGAATAAGTGTATTGTTACAAATCAACTAACAAACACGTGATTTATTTAGTTATCTGAATAACTTCAAGTGCTTATACTGACACCAAAAGTGCCTATTTTGTTTGATCGTTCCATCAGACCATTCATGCGCTTCTCTTGAACTGTGTGTGTGCAAGTCAGAACGGCAACTGTTTATTGGAATCATTCTGTGGAGCATACATTACATGTACATACCCATAGGAGTGTTCTGCTAGGAACAGGAACAGTCCAGATGGAGATATCTGTAAGGGAACGTTTCATAATTACAGAGGGCGGCATTTACTGCGGTACCGCTGTATTTTTGCGGTACCAGCATTAAGCCCTTTCGGGTAACTAGAGCGGTGCCGCTAATAAATACCGCCTTCAACAATTATGAAACGCTTAGGTATCACGCCCCATCTGGGCACTGTACTCATTAAGCATACATTATTGATGAAGACATCTGTGCCACAACTGGAGGTAAGTTATTTAAAATAAACAAGTACATGAACAGTAGTTGGTATAAATCTGCAATACATAATGTTCGTCTGTACTATAGTCTTGAGTTGAATTATATATTACAATGAAAAGGAAGAACTCCATGTTAAGAATAGCTTGTGAAAAAATTAGGTTTGGGTAAAAAATGCTCTTTCCTGTTCCAGTGGACTGTTCCAACTACTCCATGGGAACAATCCGAAGGAATGTTCCCAAGGGGCAGTAGCCATTCCGGTGGAATGCATTCCATTGGGAACACTGAGTGTGTCTAGCACAGATGGCCACCGTACTCAATGGAATGTTCCCACTTTTAAGACACTCGCTAAATCAAATTAGGAATTTTAGGCATTTTTAGTTTCTACAATATTGAGCAAAGCAGTGATTCCATCCTTGACAATAAATTCAGTGTCACAGTTGCTTGCGCCTAAGAAATGCTTCTGGAAGTGTTAATGGGATAAAATTCCGGATTTGGTTTCTGTATCAATTTACAGGTTTTGTTACCAATTTGCATGTTGCACACATGATCTAGATCTGGAGCAAAATCTGTGCAAAATGTTCTGAAACAAAAGTAGTACAATGAGCAACATTTGCACCAAGAATTGCTCAAGAGTACATAGTGTTTCACATAAAATCATACAGAAACCACAGATTCAAGCATGAAAAAATGTCTTCAACACTCAAATTCACACAAGCGGAACAGATGTTTGCACAAAATGATTCAATGTAACAAATTTCATAGGGAATTTCAGTAATCTCTTCCCAACAAAAATATACACAAGCTTATCTCCTATTTGTTTTGCGGAAACAAAAAGTTGGACAAGTTTGTCAAGGTGCAGCACACAGTATGCTGTAGCACATATCAGTCCATGGCAACATCCAGCGTACATATATATGTATTCCAAATAGAAAGTTGCCGTAAGAAATATAGAATATTCTTAATCTGACTCTATTTATGGCATTTTGTTGTGACTAAAGTTTCTAATATTTTCTTCTATTTTTGTTATTTTTTTAACTCCATCAAACACAACCCTTAACCTCTAAAACAACAATGCCTAATCTTCAACAAAAGTTATTGGTGCATCTTTCTAAAATACCACTTGAGGGTCTTTTCATTTTGAAATAAACTCCACTACAGAAACTCTTAAATTGCTTTAGGACAGTGTGAGTTCTTCAGCTAAGGTTGCAGGCGTCTCCTCCTTTTGTTCTTTAATCATCTGCGACAGTGATTCCATGTCTGGTGCAGCCACCAGGCTTGACCTGCGATTTTTGCGTTTCTTGGCCATTTTCTCCTTCATCATCATAGTCCGTTCTCTCTCTCCAAGCTTCCTGCTGGCTTGCAAGGGTTGGTCTATTTGAGACTGTCCAGGAAGAGAAGGAGCTGCAATGGTTCCATCAGGGTGGTCATTGTCATCATCTGGAGCGACAGTCTGACAGATAAATGATGAGGCAAGAAAGAACATTGATGTTAAGGTGGTTATAGTAAACCCCCCCAAAAAATTGAGTTCAGCTTCTTAGAAATGGTAATCATTGTCAAAATGGCATCATAGTAGTTTAAATTGAGAATACAATTACAATTGTAAAAAACTAAATTCAAAGAAGTTACTGAAAATTAATTCACTGACGCAAAAGATTCAGAGTGGCAAAATACAGAATACAATGATGCTATTGCAGTATTTAGAAAAAGTGATTGTACATTAGCAAGCTTTGTTGTTTATACTTAGTGTATTCAATTTCTAGCAGAAAATAGACTTTTGTAAGGAATGTCAGTGTATGAACATCACTTACAGTAAGTTCACAAATTTCACACAAAACGTTTTTACTTGATACAGAGGTGTTACATCGACATGGTCGTAGGACTGAAGAATAAAACAGACCTTACATGTATATGTATATAGAGAATAACTGAGACATACATGTACATGTAACACCTGTGGTACAGGGGTTATTCCAGAAATTAGGAGTCAAAAAGTGTGACATTTTTGGGTTCCAGTTACATCTGACCTTTGTTTTGGAAATATCACAGAAATCGATTTCAAAATATTGCTATTTAATTGGCAGGTTATTTCCATTAATTCATCACTCTTCGAAATTGGAAAATATGTTCTGAACTTACAAAATCATGTCAGATGTGACAGGGACACAAAAAAAGGACATCTAATTTCTAGAGTTAGATACAGAAGTTACGGAATTTGGTCAGATACAGTGCTTACTACATGTTTATTATGAACGGCAGATCCAAGTTCATTAAAATACATGGAGGGACATGGCCCCTCCTGTATTGTAATGAACCTACATGTAGGTAAACCACTGGTCATCACAAACCAAACTTAGTACCAGTAGCTTGGCAACTTATCCATACAATGTATGGCATAATTTATTATTGAGCTGCCAATACTGTATGACAGGCTCATAGGAGTACAAGTTAAGCAGAGATATTAATTCATTGGTCATTTCAAATTTATGCAGCAGTGGTACATGTAAGTCAATGAAGGAGACAATTGGTTATTACATTAGGCTAACCAGTGGCAAGATGAAGATGTTTGTTACCATTTAAGCCAATTTCATGTAAGTCAATGCATAATTTAATATCTCAGCACAACTGTTAAGCCAAATTGGTTCTGTTGGGGAGTCAACTTGTTAGTTACCGACACACAAAAGCCAGAACCTGCTCATGTTTGGAGATGGGTATCGTTAAAAGAGCAAAAATACAATGAGACACAAAACTGAAGGTTACAACAGAAGTGATTCACAATGCATCCCAAACTCCTGTTTATTCCCAATATATATTGAATGATTGTAGCCCCCCCCCATTTAGATAAGGCAGATTTGCAAGGTGTAGCTCTGAAAGCATGAATAAAAACAGATGATTGAGAGCTTTTTGTAATTACTGAGGAGTGGGAGTTACACAATGTTGATCTTTACTCACAATTTAGTACACACTTGCATTGATTTGCATCCTCCAACAACAGTTTAGAGGTACTAATTCACTCCCACTTTGAAAGTTTACAGGTTTTGTAAAGCTTTTAGGGAGAGTTGTACAGGAAACATTAGGAATATGTGTCATAAGAGAATTTTTACGAGAGATTCACTGTTATCAGATTAGTGTTTGTTACAATGATATCAAACGGTTTCAACCTCCCAAAGTTTGGACGCAAATGAGAGTTAATCTCCAACTGGCCTCCTTGATATGTAAAACAGAAGTACATTTCATGATGCAGTATTGATATTATAAATGGAGAGAAATATTTATACAATATTTCACAGTCAAGCACTGGCTATGTACAGTACTTACGATTTCCTCAAGACCAAACCATGTGAGATGTGCAATAAAAACAGAAAAGACTTGACCAGATGTGCCACACACTTTGTATTAGTCAGTTTAGTTCATTAAAACTGTCAATAGCTTGGCAACGACTGGTGTTTACATAAAATAAGTACCTCTCTGTACTAACCTGTGGGTGATTAAGGAACAGTAGTGTTGATTTTTGAATGGAAAATTAATTAAAAAGAAAGTTTATAAAGGCACAAAACAATTACAAAAAACATGGAGGTGTCACAAGGTTTCAAACCTAGGATTCAGTGACAAACACTATAAATAAAAAAAAGATCAGACCATAAAGGCCAGGCCAAGACAAACAGGGTAACCATGTGTAGAACAGTTAAACTTAGTGACTATGCCAAGGTGCAAGGCAATGAAAAAGGTCCACAAGATAATCTGCGATCATTGAGAATCTTACCAAGTAAACATGGCAGGTTAATGTGAAAAAAACCACACTCTGAGTAAAGACTGGATTATTTACTGTTGTCATTGAAATGCTCATTTGACCAAATTTAAGTATCAATTTGTGTTATTACAGTAACATTTCACCCTCTGATTCAGAGTAAAACACCATGATCACTGAGATGGCATTGATGTTTTAAAAGCTGACTCTGATACTGTAGTCAGCCTTCCTGTGATCAAATCCAGTTCTTAAATGAAATTGCCATAAAATACTGTTAACTGTAAATTAAGTATGTTCTGTATAAAGATGTTATGGACACATTTTCTCAAAACATACATGTATCCACTGGGCTGAAATTGAACCTGTCTAGCTCATATACTGGTAAAACATATTTTTTATTTGACATATTGCTCTCAAATCACCAAAAATAAAAAACATGCAACACAAATGATCATGTGAACCTTTGACCAGGGACAAGAGACTTCAGTGTGTTGTGAGCAGAAAAATGTGAACACACCACTTGCATTTTTCCTCTGATTTTTGTTACCTTTCCACTTGGAATTGGTAAAGACAACTACTGCTTTATGTCTTCATCACTATCCGCAAGGTAATCAGATAACTTAAAAAAAAAACAAGCAAACAGTTAGGGAGGAAAGAGCAACTAACACTGGAAAGAGTGGCTGGGCTTTGAATGATGGACAACAAAAAGTTTCAGTCTACATGTATAGAGTTTATCATACATGTACATGTACGTGAGTGTCCGGCTTATATATGTACTTACCAAAAGAGGTTGAAATCCTCTTATCATGATAATTTTAAGTTGAGTAATGGGTTTGCTGTAGCATCATGCAAAAAATCTCTTTTTCAAGTATATGTGGTCTGAAAAGAACCAGAACCACACAGACTCAAGAAACAGATATTTTGCATGGTGTTACTGCAAACCTATTACTCCATCTGCCATGACACAGCAATGTTGAGTAGTATCCAAGATATTTGAAGTTTAATCTCAGTTTCCTTTTTTTAAGACACCCTGTATAATAAATTTAAACTAACAGGTTATCAAATGATTAAAGCAAATTTTCAGGCTCAAAGGCTTCTCTGTTTGAGCATGAATATGAAAGCTTGCATATTGCATTTTACTTCAGACTGACAAAGTACAGCTGGAATACAAAAGATTACAAATGATTTATTCTCAGGCATTGTGTAAATTAAGCATGTTTCAAATTATAGCAAGTGAGAATAATTTCATGGGGAGAAGGATTTAGTGTTCTACATGTATGAGCACCAAGTACCCCTTTACATGTGACTAAGAGAAAATCTCAGTTGACACCTACAATGAGCACACGTACCGGTACATGTTCAAAAATATTAAGGGTTTTTCCGTTTTCAAATGCGAGATATAATTACTACATGTGTGAACATTTGGGTAGGCCTTCACAATGTTGAAAGGTCAATTTCCTTTAAAGAAAAGTCCAAATCCAGTAGTAGGGACACCATTGGAGGCTAACAAAGTTGCATGTACAAAGCTCAAACAGCAAATAAAAAGCAGATTAGTACTTAGCTGGCTGTGAGTTACATGTATGTGAGGAAATCATTCAGGGATAAAGTAAGCTTGAGGCTGATTGACCTCTGTCAATGCTGAGTGATGTTCATGAAACTGAATTGTTTTCCAGAGCATAAGGTGAAAAAAATGGTCCAGTAATGACACCATCCAGTGATCGAACCTTTGCTTGAACAAGTGGCTGTGATTGGTCAGACTATGCAACGACAAGTCCAAAATCACACAAAAACATGTCTTACTTCTGATTAGTAATAAAATTTGAATTTGGACTAAGTTCATGTCAACAGTTGACAATGTCAAAACACTCTTAGTGTCATATTTCATTGTCTGAAATGCTGCTGCAGTTTGAACTCTAAACAGAAGTCTTCATCGAGAGGATGCTCTTCATTTCATTTCATTCATTATTGCAGGTAAAAAAGTTACAATCAAACCAAACACACATTCATGAACAATGGTTACCAAGAAAGGTTTAAGTAACACCCCCTGCAGAGCTGCAGAAAAGCTAACTTAATCACTGTAAATTAAATTTTGTTGTGGAAAAATAGGCTTTGAAACAAAGAGAACATAAAAACCCACAAAAACGTTACTACTAAGGTTAATCCACCTGTAATTTCCACTAATAAGCCTTTAAGCTGCTTTATTAAAGCCTTTTTGCTCAAACTTGGCAAATTGTTGATGAGTTGGTACCCAGAAACACCATTACCAAAAATTTCAACTGCTTGCCTTTAGCTGATAAATGCAATAAACCGCACTGTTATGGCAAAGTTTGGTCACATCAACTTCTTCTTTGGCAAAATGTGTGGTGTTACCCTGATTGTTGGAACATTTATCTTGAGTGCCATCGGAGCTGCAGTAGCTTCAACATGACTATAACGCATTAACTGTGGAAGAATTCGGATTAAATCACATGCTCAAAACAATTAAAGCTTACCAGGTCAGTTTTCAAGGGTTGGAAGAACGAGGCCCAGGAATCAGATTTGCTTTTAGTCCTTCCTTTTCTAAGCATGAAACACCAATGAATTGTGTTGTCACTAATCTCATCTCAGTGGTTTTCTGCCATGGTTTGCATATCAATTCTTTTAGCCCAAATCCCACACTGAAGTTGAAGCCTTTGACATTGATGAGTTCGTGCAATTGTGTGTGGATGTGCTCCACACGAGTGTACACATACATTTAAGGGCCTGGGTCTACTTCTCTTGATTGTTTTTGTATTTTAATTTTTTTTTCACAATTCTTTACAATAATTCTGAAAATATCCCACAAATTACTGCACATAGGTGTACATATACACGTATTTACCTACAGAGAAAATGGTAGCACCCGGCAAGTCTGGCACACCAACGTGTCTTGTTCATACCTCCAAGGCTAGAAATGCCATTTTTTACACAATCGTTACAGCTCTTTCTTACTGTATTTCATCGTAAAATATACATGACAAGAATTACCAATACCTAAGCTTTCTAACCGTATATAATAATACTTTGCTAACAACTTCGTAGTGGGAAAAACACGTTGTGCAGCAAGGGAAAGGTGTCCACTGTAGGTTTTAATGGAGAATCCAACAGCATCACTGATTGAACCTTTTTCTGTATGGTCGTTTTGACGACAGTAAATTTCATCCACCTGGCATAAGGTTTATATCAGAAGATTCCTTAGGGTTTACTCCTTATTTAGCAGGAGAATGAAAAGATTAGCTGAGTTGGCTGTGAACTTACGCATGTTCAAAGCCCCCAAGAGTGGTCTTAATTGAGACAAAAATGAGACTCACACAATGAATTTCACTGTGGTGTCAACGTTCAACTCCAATTTGAAAGACTCAATTTAAATTTTAACAATATATGTTTTGAATTGTGTTAAAGCACATGAACTAGTCTTTTACACACTGAAAGAGCGAAATTAATCCCACAAATAGTTGAGAAGATGTGAATTAAAATTACTCTAAGAGCTGGATTATTCGTTCGTTTTAAGACTACATTACACAATGACTGTTGTTCCCAGAGTTGTTCCTTATGTTGGGGCTACGAATTTATATGTTTGGTTTGGTTGGTTTATTTTTACACTTATGGCCAAAGGCCAAATTACAGTAAAAATGTATGACACAGGAGCAAATATTCAAAAATTAATAAGAAATCAATAGTCTATGATGATGTAACTTACCAATCTGGAGTTGACTCTACCTACCTGAATTTCAACTTGTTTAGTATTAACCATTTGCAGTGGTGGGATAATTATTTTCGTCTGTTTTCAAAATTCTCCAACAATTCTTAACTTACTGGACACGTACACCCACAAAAAGGACTGTCTGGTCTCTACTCTAGCCTGACAGACAAACCTATGGACACCCAAGTATTTCAGCCAGGCCTGCAGCCTTGTAAAAAGAGCCCAGATTGTGCGGTGTTACATAACTTTCTTTTGTTCATGAACCTGACACAGTGCACTGCTGACCTCTTTTCAATGGGGGCCAGATTAGCGTGCAGCACTGCTGTGTGGCTCATTGCTGCGGTGGTGGAGCGCTTTAGTCCCTGGTAGTAATCCACTCACTCTAAATGCCCAAAACTGTGGTATAATGTTTCAAAACAAGGCTGGATAATCTTCACTTTTGAGAGTGAAAAAATGTCGGTAATGCCCAGCTGCCTGGTTTTTTGTTCCGAGTACGGTCTTTTGTTACAAGGCCCAGTTCCCTTTGCCGAGTTCGGAGACCCCGGTCAAGCATATAAAGCATACGTGTCCGGTACCGGAATCCCTGGCAGGAAGTGGTTAAGAATTAAAAATCATACTTTTTGATGACATCATAATGATATTACAACATTTTCCAAACAACCCAAACATTTACTTAGCCCGCTTGAGGTACTGCAAAAGAAAGTTATTTTGTTAGAATAAAAAGGCCAAGAAAAATGTAAAAAAAAGAACATTTTTAAAAAATCTTGAGAAATCAGGTGATGACGTGATGTCGTTAATACGTCACTCCAATTTTCACATAGAATACATCTTGTTTTGTGTCTGTACCAAGATTACTAAGATTGGACGTATGGTTCTGGAGATACAATGTATAGGCCTGCAAAGAATTCAACTTTGAGGGCAAGTCACGTGATAACTGATGACGTCATCAAGACGCCATCCTTCAAGGAACATCTTTGCTACTAGGTCTTGCTGTAGGTAAGCTTCACGAAGATACCACTTTACAAAGGGACTAAAGTCGACGGTAGAAAATTCATGCCCAAAATGAATGGGTTTTCGGGAAGAAGAACTTCAGTCTTGACAAAAAGAATGCTTTGCAGAAAAGCCAATTGAAATTTACAACAATCACTAGACAACAATGAGGATCCACCTACCCTTTTGGTACCCTTCTTTATCTCCTGTTCATCTTCCATGAATTTCCTCTGCATGTTAGCAGCAACCTGGGCCATTTTCTCATCCTTAGACAGGCCACTGTCCCTGTCTGGTTCCATCATGTCCTTGAAGGTCTTGGCATTGAGGTCTTTCTTCAGCTTCATGGTCTGAGTTCGCTCATAGCGCACTTTCTCTATGCGCTCCTTAACCATGGTCAGCTGCCGGTCTCGCTCCTCCTACAGAGAAGAACAAGAAAGATTGTGTTTGAATACATGTACTTCAACTCTTCACTAGAGATCCAAGAGGATATTCCAGATGAGTTAAAGAAACCAAGAGTAAATAAAGCCTTGTCATGTCTAGGCTGAGCAAAAATTATACAGTGATATTGTTTTGCACCTCTGTATTGCATTTTGTACAATTTGTCAGTGTCACCGCAAAGTGACATATAGGATCATTTTGATGGACCATGAAGTAACGTACATGTAACATCCACAGACTCTGTACACATAATACGACAGTTCATGGTGCAATCAATGAATTCCACAGACCCCTTGCAGTTGGTACTTGGTAATGTCATGCCAAAAGAAGTGTACAGGGATGAGACAATGTCCCATGCATGTGTCTTTGAGTGGTACAGCTAGTTCAGAGAGGAGTGGGACAATGTGGAGGCAAGTGCAAGTCAAGACAAATTTCTGAATAAGACAAACTAATACCAACTTCCCCAGGGTTAATAAACTAGTGTGGAAAGACTGAATAAAGAGTTTGTGAGGAAAATCTCAGTAGACAATTTGGGTAAGTTGAAGTTGCAGTCCAAGGATTACAAGACCCTCCCCATGGACATGTCCAACCACATTTTGCAGCAGCTGGATGAAAATCTGAGTTCCTCAGTGTCATCATGGGGCATGAGACCTAGGTCTTCCAGTATGATCTTGAAACACAACAGCAGAGCTTCCAGTGGAAGATGCCAAGGTCAACCACACCAAAGGCCAGCACATGCATAAGTCCAAGATCAAGGTCATGCCCTTGCCTTCTTCAATTTCAACTCAATTCAATTTCACTTATTTAATATTATTTGTATCCAACATAGTTGTTGAAATACACTGAAATTCGTTGTGGTTTTGCAAGCGTTAAAAACTTGATAATCAAAATATATGTTCAGAACAATAATAAACAACACTACAAAAATTCACACCAGAATGACAACAAATTTCAGACAGCATACCAGGTAAAATGACGATTGATTAAATAAAATGGGATGAAGATAACAATAAAATCTGATGGATCACTGATTAGGACTTTGATTGCACCTGTACATGTACGTTCAATAAGCAAACTGCACTTGAATAAAACTGTTAAAGGTTCGAGTTGAATCCGCGCGAATTGATCTGTAATGTTTATCTGATCTCATCCGCTGAAATAAGTCATTAGCAGGATGGAATTCATCTGAAACAATTGACATGCTCTTCTTTAAGACCCCTGTCTCATAAAGTTCTTCCATTTCCAGCCAATTATAATGCTAGCAGTTTTAACAACGGGATTAAGGCATTTCCGGTCAGGACACTCTCAACCACTGCCTGATAGAACTTCACCGGCAGACCTCGGCTGGCCCGGAAACTCCTCAGTCTTCTGAGACTAAACAGACGTTGTTGGGCTTTCCTTACCAAGAAATCAATATGGGTTGTCCATTTCAGATTGTTAGTCATATATACGCCTAAAAAAAGGACAGGTGCACCATGAGTTCCTGTCGGAGGGGAAAACTGTGAACCAGCATTTCTACAGAGAAGTGTGAACCTGCCTGATGGCACGAATCCGATGCACAAGGCACTTCTTGTGGCAATGGATCCTGCATCACAACAATGCCCTTGCACACACTGCCCTATTCTGGAATGCCTTCAATACTTGCCAGATCTAGCACCCTGGACTTCTGGCTCTTCCCAACTTTGAAAGCTCCTCAAGGGAACATATTTCGAGCCCCTTGGGAACATGAGCCATCAAGGAGAACTTTAAAGGTGCTTGGAGGCATGGAGAAGGTACCGAATACACAGGGATTAATTTGAAGGAACATGTAAGTAGCATCTGTTTTATTGATACAGTCTAGGTGTTACTAAACACACTCAAGATATCATACATGTATGATGCACATATACAGTAAGAATCAAACACAAACAGAAGAAAAAAAGGGACTTTGACAGTGAATAACAAGCAACAGATATTAACAGAGAGATGAATTATTTTTTTAGCTAATATTTTTGGAGTAAAAAGGATGTTAATGTTTTTGTCAAATGTACACTCTAACATTGGGTAATGCACAATTCAAACACCTTAATATGAGAAGAAATTCACAAGCTTTAAAGAGACTTTATTGAACCAACAACATCTCCGGCTTAAAAGTAAGGTGTTTGTTTGGTGGTGGTTTATGTTTTCTGAGCTCAAAAGAGTTTTTAAGTTTGGTATGATTCTATAGTTTTCTACATGTTTACCTTCTGTGATTTGGCCACCATTGTCTTCTGACGTTCACCTAAGCCTAACAGCATGGTGGCAGCATCCTGGTAACGATTCTTACGCTGCTGGATACGCTCCTTTAACTGTTGGAAAAAGATTGGCAGATATTTTAAACACAACCTTAGAAAAATATCATTTTGAGGCTTTCTGTCTAGATAAAACATTGCCACATGGGGAATCATCAGCTATGGAATTATAAGACACAGCTGTAAAATGGCTACCACGACATGATTGAATCAACAATTTGGAATTGGAAGGACTAGACTCATCTGTCAACTATACAATCTGAAATATTGCCCCCCCATCAACATGTTCAACGGCACCAGCTCCTCTATAGCTAACAGGATGCAAGACAGAATCTTGTCATAATAAGTTCCTATCTTGACTGACCTGTTGAGTCTGTTTCTCTTGTTCCATCTCAATCTTCAACTGTGCCTTTGTGTGTTCCCGTACCAGTGTATCAAACAATGCTTTCTTCTTCTCCTCAGATACTGATACATCAATCACAGTCTTCTCTCGCTGCATCCCTAGACCAGGAGGCTACATTGAAAACATTGGAAAATCAGAATTTTTGCTTCTGTTTTTAAGCGGCCGTTTTCAAATCTTGTGCATTCATGTGAAGACACAGGACTGAAGAAATCTCAAAACTGACAAAATCAATTTTACTGGACAGATACCAGGGCTGTTTCTGTAGTGGCAATGCAAACTCTTATTTTATCATTCAGCTTTCCCTTGGGCAAGTTCGTAACCCTCACTTAATCAATCAGTGTGCAATATGTTTCCTCATTGATTGACTAGATAACAATGCACAAAATGCAACCAAGTTACAAAATTGTTACTTTCTGGCGCCTTTTCTACTCTAACAACTATTAGACATTGGTTCCTTATATACAAATTAACAAAAATGGATAAAACTTGATGAAAAAAATGCAAAGCAGCACAGGAAACAATTGCAAGGATTCCTCTTCGAAAGATTGAGTATGTGGATTTGTAGTTTGCACATTGTGTGAACAAATAATTCTCCTTTACGAGCATAAGGGGTTCTGGAATAACTGGAGGAATGTCTCTGTACCAAACGTTCAGCTGCAGCATCTTTGGTTTTCTTGGCTTCTTCTGCCTCCTTTTTCTTTCTTTCTTCCTCTTCCTTAGCCATTTCTGCCTGATGACGTTTCTCACGACGTTGGGCCAAGCGGTCCTTCATCTGAAAATAAACAATTAAGGGCTTTAAGCTTCTCAACAACTGCAAGAACAAGTTTTGGTTATTTCCTTTCGAAAGACTCTTGAAAGGCAACATGGGAACAAGTATAATCACAACTTCTTTCTACGCATAGTTCAACCAATGTCCAAAAGGCACTAGTCAACAAAGATATAACTGGTTGAACAACTATTAAAAACAACCTCCGGCAAATTCAAACAATGCACATAGTAAACTATAATTCAACCAGCATCCCCCACAATATGGGTGTTTTGGAAATTCTAGTTTGAAGCTAGGCCCTGAATCTATTTGAGCTCAGCCCTGAAGCATGGCCACACTGCTAGTTACTAAGTAATAGCTGATTTCATTTATCAAAACAGAGAGAACCATAAACATGATAGTCTCACTGTACAATATGTCATTGACCATGTAAGCCAGGGAAGTGTAAACAATGTAATAATGAGATTCTACAACTTTCCATCATAACTGTATGGCACATTTCTTTGTTAAACAAAATTGATGAATGGTTGAGCTGTAGTTCGCACCCGAACTTGCCCCCAGAATGGTTGGACCCATAGTATAAATCAGTTACTTCACTCATTAAAAAGCAGGAATCTGAATAAACAACAGAATGAATGTAGATGACTGAAATGTGAAGCTAAGACCCAGAACTAGCACTACATATGAGGTTTGAAGACTTGTCTTGAAAACACCTGAACAACATATATCACACATCATTATCTCACCAGGCTAGTCTGCTTCTCTTTCATCATCTGGGCATCCTGGTCTCGCTTATTCTGGATATGTTCTGCATTCTGAATTAATGCCATCGCTGCATCTTCTTCATACTCCTTGTCCTCTTGCTTCTGTCTTCTCTCAGCCAACCTACTCCTCATCAAACGTCGCTGCCGCTGCAACTGGTCTTGCATGGTCTGCAAGGGATGTAAGAAGGTCAGTATTTCACTCTTTATTAGAACAATCCTTGCCAAGCAATGTCAAATGAGGTGATTACTTGTGTGCTATTCCATACCATATTTGAAATAACTTCCTCTAAATGACTGCTGTAGAAGCACAATTAGCCTTACTCTCCTCAGAAAATGACAGAAACATAAAAACTACAATTACACCTGCTTCATGTATAAGAACATGTGATTAGTGCACATTCACAAGATGCCTTAGAAATGGTAGAAACATTTAGTTTATGTTCTCTATTCATTAACCCTGACCTTTCTCTTAGCTGCATGTTGTGCCTCCAATTCAGCCAAAAGTGCTGAAGGGTCTACATTCTCGCCAGTAGCTTTCATTGCATTTACTATACAAAAATGCAGAAAACAATATTAGTGACTGACTGAGGCTTGCATCAAAAGAAATATTCAGGTTTGCAAAAGAAGTAAATTGCATGGGTTTACTCACAAATTTCTGTTTAGAATAACTTTATTCCAATATGCTTCATTGCTTTCAAATAAAGCAATAGCAAATCCAATTTATTCCAATATGCTTTTTTTCTTTCAAATAAAAGCAATAGATAATGATGTAATGAAACCTGACCAACCCAGAAACGTTAATACAGCTTTCACTTTGTGTACTATGAACAATATTCAGCACTGATCTGCTGATCTTCCTGACAGCATGACAGTGAACATAGTTTTACTTGCATTGCTTGATGGCATAAAATTGCAGTGCCTTTTTACACGTATTTGTGATTAAAAACAACCAAACTATTAAATTAACAGACAAATAACAAACATATCAGTCACAGAAATTTGAGGTCTGAAATACTGACAGAAAAAACTTTACAAGATTCAGATTTTCAAAAGAAGGGACAAAACAGTTGGCCTTTAAGTTTCATGTAAAAGTTAAATTGTGCAAAATATATGCCAATTCAACTTTGACAGGATATTAGTATTTACTGGCTGCACAGTAACACAACAAAGAAAATGATAACATACGTGGTGTATAAATTACACCATGGACGTGTACATACATGTACATGTACTAAAGTTAAGGCATACTTGCTCAAGATGGTTAAGATCACATGCAAATAGTAAAGTATTTGCCTTTGAATCACAAAGAAATGAGGTGAAGAAGAGATTTGATAGAAACTGAGTTGTACAGGTACGTAAAGAAGCCGAACACAAAATATGAAAAGAGGACAACAGAGTTACAAGTCAAAGGTCATATACATAAAATACACTCTAGAAGTTGAAGAGTATATGGCTCATGGAAAAACTCAAGATAAAAAGAAATGATACAATGGTATTCAGATAGGTACACAAAGTCAAAAAATATTTTCAATGGGTCATTCAACCAAACAAAATGGACATTCCAGTATTATCGAGTCAAATCACTCATTATTTCTAATTTGACCTCCATGACATATATTTAGTGAGGAAAGTCCATCATACAAATTTCAGTTGTGCTTCTTTTGCAACTTGTCACATGTGACCAAAACTTTATAGCGATATCTTATGATGCTTTCTTGACTAGGACACCTGCTTGAAAGCTGCTCTCACTGAACATGTTTGGGAAACCGTTCACAAAAACTTAAAAATCAGAGCATTCAATGACAGTTTGATTGGACTCTTTCCCATTATTCTTTCTGCTGGAAGGGTTGTAGTAATCTGCATTTGGACCTGAAGTACAGTCAAGCATCAAAATCATTAGAGTTTAATATGCATTCCACTGAGAAACCTGGACTAGAATCAAATACGAAATATACAAAATACAAACTAATTTCAGAAAAGAGCACTGTGTTAAAAGTGTAACAGTGAAAGATCATGGACACACTGATCACAAAGACTTGCTTTCTAACTTACCTATTCCTGAGAGTTTAATGTAATTGTATCCAAGAGAAGAACAAGAAAGAGAAGTGTCACTCAATATAAGTTTGCAGCCATAGATGGGATTTAAGTGTTAAACAGCTTCACCAGAGAGATAACAATGAATTGGTATATTAAGTTCACAAAAGTTGGAGATTTCATTTGTTCATCTTTGACATCGTAATAGTGTATTTAATATTAACAACTACGGACAAAATTTTTGGACAGTGTGGGAGGTGTCATTATTGGCATGTAACACTGCAGTGCACTGCAGTGAACAGCAGGGAACTGTGAGCTTTTCTGACAACTGGTCAACCACAATTCAAATAAGCCTTGTAACCTTATCTTTATCACACCAAAGGAGTTAATGACATAAAAAATCAATCATTTTTTAGCTAATGGTTAAGCTTGAGGGAACAAGTAAAATAAAATTATAAATCAATATCAACAAATCACACTGACAATTACAAAATTCACAAAGCCCAACTCTCCAGCCATTCTGATGTAAATCTTTCAACACCTTATCATCTTTCTTTTTTGTCAATAAGTTACCTTTTTCCTGCAGTTCCTGTTTCTCCTGCTCAATTTCTTTTTCCAATTCCTGCATCATTTTGGTCTCCTCCTCCTTGCTCTCTGCCTCTAGTTGTTTCTCATCTTCCTCCTTGATGGCAGCTAGACCACCAAACACTACTGCCTCCAGGTTTTTGAGCTGCAGTTCCCGCCTGGCTTTGCGCTGACTACTGATCAGTTGCTTGATGAGTTCATTGTCAGTTTCTAGCATCTCAGGATCCTTAGAAAGAGACATTGATATTAGCATTAATAAAGGTTGACTTGCAAGTGAAATTGATTAATAATGATAATAATTTGACAGTAATAATTGGTGGAATTTAGATTATTGAAAAAATTAATATTTGCAGCAACTTGGATAACTTTTGAGGATTTTCCTAATTTAAAACAAAAAGTGAAAAAAATCAATGCTGACATCATGGATACCAGACCTATGGCTTTAATCCCAGAAGCAAAATTTTTTTCATTATTTCATTTAAACATAAATAAATATGTCAAGTGTTGACAGAATGGAAAGGTTTGCTCTGGCACAACCAAATTTGTTGCAGAGGAAATTCAGGTCACCAGCTAATAGGTTAATGTTTTTCATCACAAGAGTACAATGCAAGAATTAGAAAATTCTGCAAAAATCAGGCTATGCATGTTTGTACATGGAGAGAACAACATGCACGTCTTTTAGTAGCCCACCGGGCAAGGAACATTATACATGTACATTTTACAAGACCACAATAATTACTAGGATTTGTACTACAGGCTAGTGGGTCATCAAGACCTGTTTCAGTGCATTTTTTTCACAGGCTGCTTATTTGCTCAGCACAGAATCTCCTTCACTTCCACTTCTATGCACCTTCACACACCTCATCAAATGACAGGATCTTGTTCAAGGCCTTATTCTCTGAAGACTGCTTCAATTGGAGTTCAGCTAGGAGTGACACTAGCACCTCATCAGTAATCTCTTCACTTGTAAGCTTGGTTTTGATGGTTAAAGTACGGCGGTAATCTGGCATTTAAAGACAGAGAACAAGAAAACAGCTGCCAAAGGTTTAAAGGTTTGGATACTGTTTTTTAAATGAACTTGAAAATCATCTATGCTGCTCATTATTAAGCCTATTAAGATATCAGATATCGTATTGTTCGTAAAAACACATATCAGGATATCGTGTAAATCAATATACCTAAAATTATCACAATAAGCTCCAAATGGTGTACTGTACATGCCCATAGGAAAGTAAATGCACCACGTGTTGAGCCCTGCATTACTGCATTTAGGCAACACAAATACTCCACTCCACTATCTCCAGCTAAGTTGGCTCTCTCAATCGGGTCTCAAGATCGTCATAGGTACATGCACAATGTACAAGTTCGTTCAATAAGGCGATCACAAAAATGAACAGAGTGCATGCATTTAGCTCTAGAAGGGTCACCGGTATTGATGTGCTCAACCATGTGCTGTTAACAACAGATATCAGTCAATCAGTGGGGCTTGACACTTGATGATTCTTGGCAAATGTGGCAAAAGAAACTGATGCCGAAATGCGCTTTTTTTAATGCTGACTATCACAAACGATTTTTTGTGGTCTTGTAGAAAAAGGACCGAGTGAAACATGCAGACTAACCAGAAATGAATGGCAACTTAAATGCCGACTTAAAAATGAGGTGAGGGCATCAATACCAGTAGCCCCTCTGGTAACATGCATGCGCTCTGTCCATTTAGGAGGTTGCCTGATTGAGTGAACTTTACCGCTAAGGCGCCAAGTCAAAATAGAAACGGTTCACCAAGCGGGAAATGATTGCCCTTAATCCCCTTTCAAAACCATTGCCGGATTCAACTGCACCAGGGCAATGATTGAAGAGAGTATTTCCCAAAAAGGAGTTGGCTATGCAGCAACCTCTTTGATGCATACCACCATTTTCCCCACCTTGATATAAAAGCCCTGACTCCCACCTTACCACAAATGGTTATTGTGCATGGCTTTGTTGTGTAAATTGGGCCAGTTCATCCACAGGCTGAGCACAGCTTATTCAGAAAGGGAAGCAATTAATCTCTTAACAAAAGACTAACTCCATCAGAGTCAGCAGGTCTATGTGCATCACTAAGTCTCGTGTCATTGAGTTAAGATCTGTAGTTTTCTTTCCCCAAATCTAGCACTGTCAGGCAGTGATTTCCGCATCACAGATTTGTCAATGATTGGAATAGACAATAAACTAAATGGAGAACACTATAAATGGAACAGTCATAGGACTTCAAAATCAATAGTAAAATAAGAAAAGTCGACTAATGTTGGTATATAAGGGTAGCATGGCAAACTGAAGGAAAAAAATCCATATCCATGTAAACGGTAAAACAAACCCAACCCCCCCAATTGTTGACATATCAATGGGCTGGGGTCCCAGCTGTTTGATAAACAGCTCTAATGACTCAACCACCAGCCACAATGGAGTGTAATCTTAAAGCTCTCTATTAATAGAAGAGATAAACATAATCACCGCGG